ATGCTGCTGCTCTTCTGATATAGACTAAAATAACGACTTTATTCTTTTATTCTTTAAAGACTTTAAGAGTTCTTCTTTCATCATTTTCGCGCAGGCTGGTCTCGAACTCTTTAATTTACGAGATTAAACTCGTAAATTTAAAAGTTTAATCTTGTAAATTTACGACTTCAATCTCGAAAAAAACAAAAAAGGATATGAATGAGCAGAGATCACTCACCACAGAGTCCTCAATGATACATTCAACCAAAGAAGCATAAAAATGAAATGAATGAATAAAAAAGCAGTAATGAAAAAACAGGTTTGTGGCTGCTAGCATGTGGCATTACACGGTTTAGTAGCAAACAATTACATTTTATAATACTCGATGTCTACACTGTTGTTTGAGAAAAAGCTTTGGTTGAATTTTAACACCGCCCGTACTAGATGAAGGGTTGTGATTGACCAGACGTGAAAACAGGTCAGCTAGAAATCTGTGTGAAATTGAAGATATGTCAGAGCACACAAAACCTGAGTTTGCGGATTAATTTTCATCCAAGGCTGGATCAATTCTGAATGGTTGGAAGAACTTGGGGGGGAAAAAGGCAAAACAGTTCTTCTGTGATAGAAAATGCTGTATTCATAAAGTATTGTTTATCACTTATTGTAAGAAACTCTTCACAGCCTTCAAAGCTTTTGAGTCATAATGTTTAAATTAGAACTGTGTCTCTATTTCTGTCTTTTGTTTCAAATGATATTCATCTGGAAGTAACAATCTTCTTTACTACAATAAAAGGCAAGATATGAGAAGATTTCTGTTCTGAGGGTGATGACAAATGCGAGCAAAGGCATCTGAATTCCTTTATTTGGTGTGTGTGTGTGTGTGTGTGTGTGTGTGTGTTACGCAGGTGTATGAGAACTGGAGGGAGAGCCAGCCAGATAACTTTTTTGCCGGTGGGGAGGACTGTGTGGTGACCATCGCCCACGAGGACGGCAAGTGGAACGACGTGCCGTGCAACTACAACTTGCCCTACATTTGCAAGAAAGGCACAGGTACTACTCTCAGGTCCACAGTGACTTCCTCAGCAAAATAGAAGCTGTAATTACTTCATGAGGAGAGATTTTCTTCACACAGTTTGTCTGCTTGTTGTTATCTCTGACCAGCTGGTTGCATTGTTAGTCATCAGCACCTTTTATTGCATTTGATGCTCTTTATGTGGTGAACCCTTCCTCCTCACAGTGTGCCAGTCATTGTTCTGACTTCAGAAGCTGTTTCACATTGCTTGCACTTTTTTCAGTTAAAGGTCAGAGCAGCAGTTGCTCCAAGAAATTGTCAAAAAAAAATAACCCCAACAAACTTAAGTAAAGATTGTGATTCAGCCTCCAACCTGTATTGATTCTTGAGAGCAATATCAATCTCAATCTCCCTCTTATTGCCTCCTCCCCCTCCCTGGAGCTCACTTACACTTACCCCAGCAGCAGAACTGTGGTTGCAGTTATTACCTTTTACTACCTTGTTCACAACAAATATGATTGGAAGGAAATTCCTCTGAGCCATTTATGCCCTGCACTCCTATTACATACGCTCCTCTGGTCCCCGAATCAACCGATCTGAAAGTAAGCATTAAGATCTTATGTACGGTAGGATGCATATAAAGCAAAGGAAAGCTGCAGAAGAAAAGGGAGGGAGGCATTAAGTGTGTTAAGAGTGGTTTTGTGTGTGGCTGTGGTTACTTGGTTTTGTGGTTCGGCTCTACTTCATGTCTGCTGCAGAGACCCATTACCTCCTCCTGGCCTCACATCAGCTCTGCTCATCACTCACATACACAAGACTGCCATCTAGAGGCCAAACAAACCACTGATATTGTGTTTCGATAATATGAAAATGCATCTAATACTTTCTATATTTAAGTATGTGTGCCTAACAGATGCATAATGAGTGGAATTTAAGACAAGGTAGAAATAAACGTTTGCCACCATCTAAATCAGACCAACCTGTACCTGCAGTACTTAGCAGATTTTTGATATCTCATTCTTTCCGTCTCCAGTGTTGTGTGGGACCCCACCTGCCGTGGAGAACGCCCATCTGATAGGTCGGCGGAGGTCACACTATGACATCCATGCAGTGGTTCGCTATCAATGTTCCGAAGGCTTCTTCCAGCGCCACATCCCCACCGCTCGCTGCCGGGCTGACGGGAGCTGGGAGAGACCAAGAATCATCTGTACAAAGTGTGAGTGCTGAATGTCTTCTTTGATCCCATAGTATGTGTGGCGAGGTGAAGAATATTAAAAACCTGCTCTAATTTTTTCGAGATTTTAAAGGGATGAACACATTCATGTTTTATTGTTGAACATTTAAATTGTTTTGGAATTCATTTTAAAACATATTTGACTTCTCTGATAACCCTTTATTGCTGCTCTTCCAGGACCTTTAATCATTATGTCTCACATTTATTAGGATATTTTATTATTCTTTAGTCCTAATCTTGTAAATTATCCTTTTTTAGAGTTAGCTTTCCTAGTCCCCTGAATATAATTTGGTACATACTCCATACTCATACAATACTCCAAATATAACAGAATGAGCATGTTATGGAGAACTGAAGACACATAACCAGACGTTATTTGGAAAGAGCATCTATTACAGTACATCATGAAAATACAACTTCTTATTCTCTTCTTTAAAGCCCGTCGGTCTCACCGGTACAGACGCCACCACCACAATCAGCACCATGAGCACCGCGGCCACCGGAGACACGGCGGAGAGGGACACAAGGCCCGGTTGGACGCACAGAGCTACTACTGAACCAAATAATAACACATCTGCCATGCTTAGGTGCTGAACATGGCCCATAAAGACAGACAGTAGTTCATCAAAATCACGCTTCTCACCCCTGCTCTCTATAGCTTTACCCTTCCTCATGAAAAGGTTTTCTCACTCTTAACACACGGTTTATCTCTGCCCCCCTCGTTTGGGTGTTTTTTGACGCTTCGTTTTGACCCAGCTTCCTCTAACCAAGGTCCATGCGAACACTAATACTATCTCACTAACAGTTACTAATACCTACCTAACATCTCCCTTCAGTGAATCCTCCTCCTGTCTATGAACTAAAACCCTCCCCCCCTCAGTCCCTCACACACACACACAGACAGCAGCGTGTGTGTGTGTGTTTGTGTGTGTGTGTGTGTGTGTGTGTGTGTGTGTGTGTGTGTGTGTGTGTGTGTGTGTGTGTGTGTGTGTGTGTGTGTGTGTGTGTGTGTGTGTGTGTGTGCGCGTGTAAGAGAAAAACTTAGAAAAGTGCTGAGTCACATCCTTTTTTTCTAAGGGGTTTGCCTGTGCTACATGAAAAATGACTCTCACCCTAGTTTTCCGTTTACAAAGCACAGATGTATTTGAAGCAAGATAGCATTCAGTCCCTGTAACCCTGAGCTTTTTCTAAGTGTACTGTAGCTGTTACTTTCCCATAGAGTGTCTGAATAGCTCGTCTCTTTTATTCTACTGACATGCTTTTTTCTAATACCTGCTATGTCATGGTGTTATGTTACTATTTATTATAAATCTGCTAGTGAATATGCTTTCTTTTTTTACTTATACGTCAAAGAGCGGATAGAGCATCTTTTTTCTACACAAGTATTAAAGTTCAAATCTTAATAAAAAAACAAATTAACCCTTTGATTGCCTCTAATCTCTGCATTGTAAATATTGTCGTGTTTGTTATTGGCTGATTGATAGCTGGACCTTGTCCAATGAAACAGACCCTCCCATATCCCCATAAGCACTCGAAACTAATGAATATGTCGTAGTGATATGGACAGTGTGGGTGGGATTTACAAGACTGAAGAAACCAATTGATTGTATCTGATTTGTGAAATTCTTTCGATCTTTGCACGGCTAAACTTACAGGATGGGTAGAATGTCGATATTTTTTGTCCTTTGGTCTCTTTGATATTCGATCGCTCATCCACTTTTTTGGTGTTCTTATGACTTTTTGTCCTGCTGTTGTATTCCATTCTTAATAAAGTCAAAAAATAAACAATGTTTCTGACTGTTCTTTTTTTATACTGTATGCAAAATAACAACTTTTTTCAGTTTCTAACACTGGTCTGATGGTTGATTCTTAAATACTCAATCTCAAAAACTATCAGAGCGATCATCATTACGTTTCATTGAAAGACATTGGTGTTGACATAAGATCACACCTACAGACTTTGGCCAATCATCTTTTTTTTTGCATCACATGGTCAGCTTTAATGAATAAGAAGCTTTATTGTCATACTGATGTGCAGAGCAACAACACAATGATGGCACTCCTTAGTTAAACCTTTAAATAGAAACTTTAACTTTTTCTGGAAAACTACCGGAGAGTTAGCATAACACTGTAAACCTGCTATTAAAAAAAGCATGTTAGCATTCAATTGTTAGCAATTAGCTCAAAGTAAACCTGTGTCTCTTATAGAGGCAATATAGTTTTACTTATGATGTGAATGTACTGCATGAAAAGCAGATTAGGGGTAGGTCAAATAAGTGTAGGCTTCATCATACTCCATATTGAATATAGACTGCTTGCTAGTTAAATATTGTAGATTGTGTAAGTTAGGTCTACTTCATATTTTCAGCTGCTTTTCTTGTTTGTTTATTTATTTTGTGTATTTACCTCGTGAAGCCTGATAAAGACAGTTTTGTTCCTTTATGTGAAAGTGACACTAAGGCACCCTACACAAAAACGCTTTGAGTCACGGCCAGCTGACGGCTGCGTCATGTGATCCTTTGCACTGTTGGTTGTGACAGCTCACCGACAAGAGTTCACCTCTTATCAGGTTGACAGCAAAGTTGACTGGGGCAGCAGTTCACTGCACAAAGCGCCCGGTGACATCACCGACAATGGGATCATATTGATACGTGAAAAGATAGTTCTATTCAACAAGTAGGCCGCTCCTTTTGTGAATTAATTACAGCATCCATTATTGACTGAGACACTAAACAGATGAAGAAAAAAAACGTGACTATAAATGATGCAAGAAAATAACTTTTAATGCTTCGTATGTTTTTATTTTACAAAAAACAAAACATCAAAAAATCTCTGCTTCACCCTCTTCAAAGTGAGGATAGTTAACATTTTTTCTTCAGTTTTTAAGTTACATATTGAATATAATTCAGGTTTTGAACCGCTGGTCAGACAAAACATAATGTTTAAAGCTGTGGAGTTTCAGTGAGGATTTGTGCACTTAAATATCTATAAACATGACTGACATGTACAGTAGTTTCAAGGTCAATAGTCTCAGTTTGGGAAGAAACCAATTGGCTGTCTGCATGAGTCACAGTCCTCACCTCCATCGACAGCCTTCTTATCAGAGTGCAATAGTCCATGCAGGGAGCGCAGCTGAGCGAGGTGACTGATTTTCAACAGTTGACTCAGGAAGCAACACTTTCAGATTTCCTCTGGGACGAAAAATTGGGTCTTTAATGCAGTTTGTAGGCCAACCAAGGGTCCCCAGCAAACATTAGCCCTGTCACTGCGTGAAGTATTCCTCCACACTCCTCTGCACCATGGTGTGTGGTCTAGTTTTTCTTCTTCTCCTTGTCGGTCTGTCCTTTGGGAACGGGTTTCATGAAAAAAGCAGGGATGGTATGGCAGCGCACGGCGAGCAGAATGGGCACAGCAGCCAGCAGCACGTTGAGGGTGATAACAGGCCACCACTTATCAGCTGGGACTCGGTATGTGAAGGGAGTGCGGGAGTGCAGAGATGCACCGATATGGCACCACTGAGTCTGGGAAAACAGGAGAAGGAAGTCAGATTTATGCTGTTTCTCGCTTTCTCTAGGACAAATAAAACAGAAAAAAAAAGTAACAAAAAAATTACCTGAGCTATGGCCCCCGCAAAGAAGATGGTCCAGTCCAACATCCAGCTGCATCCAGGTGTTCTCAGTCCGTAGAAGAAGGCAATCAGCAGGGGTAGAGCATAAAACAAATATGCCAGCATCTGCAGGATGGTGCAAAACATGTCAACAATAAACAGAACATTTGATTTAACCCAGTGTGTTGCTTTGTCATTTTCCATACTACCATTAACTCACCATAACTCTTGGAAAGCCCACAGGGTCTTTGAGGTAGGGCTCGTACTGGTAGATGTAGGTGAAGCAGGCATCCAGAGGACAGTCCAGCACCACCTGGAGAAGAGCAGGAGGAGTGCGTTGTAGTATTTTTTGTTGTGACCTCATTGATCAGGGAGTTCATTCAGGTAATAGTTTTACTCACAAAGCCTCGGAAAACAGTGAAGGCCATCGCTCCGAGTGACAGCAGTGACAAAAGCAGGTCAACAGGTCGACGCAGAAGACTTTTTCTCTGCTCAGCTAAAATCTAGTCAAGACAGAAGTGGGCTTTTCTTTTAATAACTTCAAAAGGTCATTTAGGCCTGGACAGTGGACACAGTGTTAATTCTTGCACATTTAAAAAAAAAATACCAACAAGGAAAAGAAGCTCTTTAATGCATATTTGGCCTTCTTTCCTCTAAATAATTGTGTACAGTGTATCTATCTGTTTCATATGTATTATTCATAATGTCCAGTGGAGTTTACAGTACAAAGAAATCTGTGATATTGTCTTTGCTGTTACAGACATTTTTCAAAGAAGCATGTTGTTCTTGTCGTTATCACTGTTGAATGCGTTTATCTACAGAAAACTACAAGGCCACTTAAGAGAGCAATAAAAACACTCTCAAGGCTTCTATGATCTATACCAGTCTTCTATTTACTGAACAAAATAGTGATTAGTTCGGACGTGCTATTATAATTTATTTGAGATTTGGATCAAGACAAATGTACAAAGACATGCTAATATCAGTTTCAGTAGAAGAATGACATTATCAGTCATTTTGTAAATCATAATTTAACTAGTTTTAAACAAATCAGTTATTATCTTCCTCCAGAGGTTCCTAACCTGAGGGTCCAGACCCCAACAAGGGGTTACAGGAGGAGTTTTAAAAGTTGCAGGATTGTTTCCTAAACAGGATTAGGAAACTTCTGGGCGTGTTTGAAACATTCTGTTTTCTGTAAAGACTGTATGGTTAACCCATCTGCAAATACTGAATGTTGAGGATGGAACAATCTTAAAAAGAAAGGAAAGTGGTTGGGTTCCACTATTCTATGGATACAGATAATATTTTTTATGTCTTAAGAGCTGAAACTGACCTTATCTGCTGGGATGATTGGCATCTCTCTGGGTCGGCTGAAGAGCACCGAGGCCGCCCAGAAAGGAGCCACAAAGAAGGGGATGTTCCTCCAGAAGGCTGGCTTAATATTTGACCCATATTTACCTGCACACAAATAAAAACATGATTCTTTAAATAAACACTGCTGATGATAATATGATTCAAAGTGTCAATGTAGGCAGCACTCACCAATCACCACTCCTGGGATGAGCACGATCTGATGAGCGATGGAGGAGCCGGCCCACAGGAGACCCAGACTACGATATGACTTCCTGTGTGGACAGGAAATAAAAAGGTTTCAGTGGAAGGCTCACTGTGCAACACGGCAGACAGGTTTCTATGGTGACACTTACCCATTAAACATGCGGCGGATGATAATGAGGAAGAGGAGGTAGTGAAAAATGCCTTCCCAGTATGACATCATCACAGCATAGGCGGTGCTTAGATGAGGCTCACCCTAAAGACACAGCAGCGCAGGAGAAATTTGAATATGTAATTTGGATTCTGAACGAGGCAGAGAATTTGCCACATTCACACTGGGGGCCACTTGAAGCATGCTGGCAGAGGGAAATGGCTGCTGTGTGAATGTGGAGCATAAAGGTCTTCTTACCATCTTTAAGTAGAAGCCCATGAAGCCAGAGATGAACCTGTCCTGCTCCAGAGCGTTAGTCAGGCCCACCACGCAGGTGAAGGAAAACTCTGCAAATGCTGTACACACACGTGCAAAGAAAGAAAAGAACAATCAAAAACTAAAACATCCCGCTTTTATTTTCACTGGCAAATGTTAGTGTGTTTGTCTGCTTGTACCATAGAACAAAGGGTCCACTTTGGTTTGATGTCCCACAGCGAGGAGGAGGAGAAGAAGAACTGATCCCAGGACAACCAATCCCATTCCCAGGATAGGAAGAGTTCTGAAGAGAAACAATAAGTGTGACATCGAGACTCCCTACATGGACTTATCTCCGCAAGTCTTTAACCTTGATCTGAAGCAACAACTTTGATAATTAAGCTCTGTTTTAAACAAAAATGTGAAACATTAATGGGATGCAGGTTGTACGATGTAAACATTTTCTGCTTTATGTGTCTTCTGTCATTAAATAAAGATGGATAAACTGTTTTTTCAACTGATGATCTGGCCAAACAAGCTTTTAAAGATATCACTGCAAACTATGATATGAATCGCCTTCATTTCCCGTCTTCACTAGATTAACCTAGGTCACAATAATAATCAGCAGGTTAACCAGAAACACAAAATAACCCCAAATTATAAGCTTCATATTCATTTTTTCAGCAGACAAATAAATTTAAGGATTTTAGGTCATAAACTACCTCAGAAACAATTTAATTAACTCCACAATCTGTTGGCTCCTCCATTTTGTTTGGATGAACTGAAGACACATTTTTCTACACATTCCCTAAAGGGGCCAAACCTTCCCAACTTCCTTTGACCATCTCATTGCTCGTAAGTATACATTCAAATCTATCAAAGGCAGTTCAGAGCAATCAGATTAGCTAGTAAAGTAAAGATAGTTCAATTAGTCAGTTTTCTTCAGAAGCTTTTAAAAAAAACAAAAAAACTTGGTGGCTTGGTGGGCCGCTTCATGAGCCTGTAACCACAATCAGCTGCTGAACTTGCGCAATCCCTGCACACATCGAGCCAAAGTCGAAGTTACATTGACCACAGAGAACATGCAGACTTACTCCTGAAGCGCACTGATGTTGTTAATAGTGTACAAAACCACCGGAGCCAAGAGAGAGAGGAGGAACACACTGACTTCCACCGGAGGCCTCATCGTGGAAAACTTTGCTGTTTGGCCTGTTTTTAGAAAGAAATGTCCGGATAGAAATCTCCTCCTTTAAACACGCATGGTGCTGAAGCGTGTCCTCTCCACTGCCACTGAGGGAAGGGGAGTGTCACCAGTGGCCTTTTGATCAGTAATAAAACCAGACTGCTGCTGCTTTGGTTTGTCTGCTATCTCTGGTAGGTGTCAAAGTTCAAACCAAGAGACCAATGAGTGAAAATGTGAAGAGAGAGAGACCAGTTCATTTGACTGTCTCTAATACGTGTTTATCTTTGCAGAGCTTAAAGTGTATTTTTCCTACAATTTAATGACAACTGGACTATATTGTTCGGCTTTACATGTCAATCATCCAACCTGTTTATTCAGCGTGTGCTTGTACACAACGCCCCCTGGTGGAGGAACATTATGTCATGGTTCAGTTTATTTCCTTCATTGTTTCCTTAAGACATTATTTTAACTTTAGCTTTTTCTTTTAAATTTTCTCTGTGCTATGAATTCTGGGTAGGCTACATGCGATGAGTCCTTAATCACTGAAATATATAAAATCAAGTCACGTTGCACATGTTGAAGTGCTGTCTGGGCTCCTGTGGCCCCTGGGGTTCGATTAAGGAGCCATCTGTCATTATTGGGTGTAAGATTAAGAACTCCTGCGTCTGATGTCTCTGATCTTGATTAGATTGTGGATTATATATGAAGAAGAACATAAAGTTCAGAGCACAGATTATGTTTTTTTTTTTTTTTCTTAGCCAGGATGCGTGTTGAATAAAATATCACTAGGATACAGTTTCTTACAGCTTATGCCATCCATACAAAGTCCATGTTGTAAAGAATGAAGATGTGCATTATGCAACAACACAGATGAACATTTGTAAAGCAGGCCTCTAATGCAACTTTATCTTCTGCAACAAAGCGGCTGAAGAGGATTATGCTGCTGTTGCCACAGAAACTTGTTGATCAGTGAGAGTAGAGAGGGGAGGGGGGTCCACACATAATGAGCAGAGGGGACAGAGAGGTGATCCAAACAGATTTACAGCACAGACCACCCTGCACCTACAGCAGGGAAACACACTTTTTTTTAAGGTGACACAGATTCCTTCCAGTTTGCCACCATGCTGCACCCTTTAGTCATCGGCATTATCACCGTCAACACCACCATGACCGTCGTTTATTGGAGCCTGCTGCTGAGCGATGCCTACTTCAGGTTGCTGATGGAGCCAGAGGACAAACCCAAGAAAGCGGTGACCCCTGTCTGAGGGAGGCAACATGGAATGACTGAATTGATACACTTTATTAATGCTTAGAACTAGTGTGCAAGAGCCGCTCAGCTTGTAGTGCTTTCTGTGGAGTCCTGTTTTGCTGTTGATCTGCTTTCTGTTCCACCTGGAGAAGACTTTGAAACCTTATAAAGACAAATCTGAACTGAAAGGATCCTGCTTGTGGAAGACAAAAGAGTCATTCTTAAAGGTAAAAGCTTTGCATTTTCTAAAAGTTTAAACAAGTTTCCTTCTCTTTTTATTATGTGCTTCATGTTTTGAAGGAGTTTTTAGGCTTAGTGTCTATGAAACTGTTGGTGTTACAGATGCTGCTAAATTAACTCCCTCACTGCTTTGCCATCTGCTGACTCAGTTAAAAGGTACCGATGCTGGTGACAGTGTCATGCATAACCTAAATCCTGCTAAGGATTACTAAAGATCCCCTTGATGCTGACACAAAGTAGACAACCTGAAGCTGCAGAGACCTCACACAGCTTTTTCACCACATCTCATTTGATAGTCTCTACCAGAAGACTTGATTTTCAATCTTGTTTAATACTCTGTACGCTTAAAACTTCTTAACTTTTTCTACCAAACATGACGCATACCTTCTACTACGGTCTGCACCCGGTCTCTTGGTTTATTCTTTTTGCCAATGTTGCCCTCACCATTTTCGAGTGGCAATTTCTTATTACTCAGTTCATCAAAGTTTCCAAGAGAAGACAAGAAGAAGAAATCAAATCCTAAAGAAGAAATCTACACCCTGATGCTCCTCCAGGAAGATCTTGGAGGACAATGACTGTTTTTTATATCACTGTTATAGCCCACTTAGTGGAGAAAATTCCCTGATGGTGGGTTTGCAGTGTATACTGTAAAAGCAGCCAACATGGTAAGCCTTTCGTTTACATGATTTTAAACTTATCCGTGTTTTTATGCTTCTTTCCAGAGCCGTCTGTATGCAACACGAGCCACTTTGGAAGACATTTTATTGACAAATATAAAGAAGAAAACTGAAGATCCATTTCAAGCTTTGATTGCAGGGTAAGACATTATATATTTGTTTTAAATGATTTCATCTTCATTCAATAAAAGTTGTTTCTTTTCATTCCTAACCATGCTCTAACATTCATTCTTAAAAGTTCTAAGTTGGTATTTTATAAGTTACATTTGATGATGTAGGCTCACTGGTTTCCTAACCATGGGAATGTTTTGGTGGAAAACTCAAAAAATATTTTAAATATCACTGCTCAGTTATAAAGCAAGAAATAAGCCATGAAATAAAGTGTCATATCAGTGAATTATATGACAAGACAGTTATAGAATATGAAGACTGGACCTGCTGGGTTTACAACAAATTTAAAGCATGGAATAATATAGTGATGCCACTTTAAAGCCCAGAGAGAGTACGTTTACTTTAATATATGCCTCATATATAAATAGATATATATGTATGCAATGAAGTCATGGAGGACCATAAGCCTCTTTGGCGTATTACTGTCCACCTCTCCTCGCTCATATCTCTAATCCCTGCAGATGGAAAGCTGATATTACTCTGTGACAGAACCAATCCTATTAACTCTGTCTGTCCTATATTCACCTCTCCCCCGGCTCGCACGCCTCGCTCCCCTGGAAATATGACCGAGGAACCCCTCTGCAGAAGACTAGAAGGAGGAATGCTCGGATTTAAGTCTAGACGAAAGATTAGGAGAAGTGGCACAGTTCTGGCACCACATTTTTGTCGTCTGGTGAACTACATTTCTGACTCACTGTCACTCAAAGGAGATGTTCTCGTTTCTTTTGGCCATCTTGACATTTCCATCTGTCATCTCTTCTGCCATTCCTCTGTGCTACAGAAAACACATCATGTCTAATTCTCAGTTATTCTCCCTCCTTGTCTCTGGTGCACCTCTATTACCCTTTTTAAAGTTTTCACAGTGCATAAAAGAAAGTTGCCGCAAAACTCCACCATGAACCAACCACCACTTGTGTCCCTGAACGCATCTCGAGGAGCTCTACTTTTGAACCTCAAACAGCCGATGCTTGTGCATCGACAGCTCCTCCAGCTGTCCAGGAGGAGGGAAGAGGAGACTTATTTTGTGAACTACATACCGCCAGCCAGAGATTCTTTAACTCTGCCTCGTAATGTAGTTTACGTCCTGATCGGTCTGGTGTTGGTTATAGTGGCCACATATGCCATAGTGGGACATCTTATTAAAGATCTGATGCATGACATGGCAGGTAACATTCAGGCTGTTGTCCACTCCCTCCCGTCACACTCCTCACTCTGGCACTCTGTTTGTGGTGACTTTGTGTCTCTTTTCCTCACTGAGCTCTGGGGCCAAGTCTGCATCAGTGTTTTTTTTTTACTTTGTCTCCTTTTTGGTGAACTTTTTGCCTAAAATTTGTCCTTCACATTCAACCTGTCTGTTACAAATTCCAACTTTCCCAACTGCTTCCTTGGTGTACTGTTTAGGTGAATGCCATACAAAAAAACATCCAAAATTGAGTGCTGACTTCTACTAAAATACCTTCTTGAATTTGATTTTCTGTTGCATTTCAGCAAAGTGAGGAGGTTTCAATTTTAAGAATTTGAGTCCCTAAACCCAGGATCCTACATTACACATAATGCAACTGAAAAAAAGAATGTTTTATTTCCTCCCCTAGTAAATGTCTGGCTTTTTTTTTCTCAAATCATTCAATATTATAAAAATCTCCAAAGTAAAGCTGGGCTTGATCTTTAAGATCATTTCTTTAGTTCCCTCCAGAGCCACAGAAGACATATTAAAAGCTTTTACACACCCTGCAGTGAACTGCACCTCATTTGTAAAGCCAGTTGATTTTCTCTTCAAAACACACCAACAGTTGTTTTGATTTGATTTCTCTTGTTTTATATTTCTCCCCACAGACTGGATCCTTGGCCCAAACCAGTGGAGGATGAGTCAGAAGAAGGCAGAGCAGAAATAGAAGAAGAGCAGAGACTGAGTGTTTCCAGTAAGCTGATGCAGAAAGACAGGCTAGAGATGGAGATCGAGAAGGATGGCAAGCTCCCTGGCATACATTTTGGAGACTCCTTCCACTGTCTACCCATCCCTCCTCCGCTGAGTAACGCCATCTCTCCATCCTACCCTGAAGAAAAAAATGTAACTGCTCATAGGATGTCTTTCTCCAGCCCTTTGACCCCTTATGTCATGTCCCTTTGAGTTAGAGCAACAATACAGCTCAAATAAGTTGTTGGCACAGATCTCAGTGATCATTGTTGTCTTTTTGCTGTAGAGATGCATAAGCTTACGCATTTTGGATTTATATAGAACACAAGTTGTTCTATACTGTAGCGTGTCACATAGTAGTTTGTACTAAAACAAATGCTTACTCTGATTGTTTATTAAAAATGTAATCAAGCATGGTCTTTAGAGTCAATTATTCAAATAACATTGCAATCTGCAAAGTGTCAAATGTAGCAAAAAAGACATTGACGTGAGATACAAACAAGAATACTGTATTTTAGTCACAGACTACAAAACTAAAATGTGTCAACCTTGACACTTTTTAATGAAAGTGTGTCCGGTTCCTCCATAAAAAGACAGAAATATATTTTTAAGGATAACACATGAACTGCCATTTTCAGTACATTTTCCAGACCAGTCAAAGTCTCATGGTGTTGTTTACTGAATCTGTATTTCCCATTAGTCTGTCACACATGTTGTTAATGTCTCACTCATTGTCTCACTGAAGAAGAATAAGAAAAATCATGTCATTTTCCCTGATTTGATGATAGACTAAAGATGATTTCAAGTAAACAACGGACTGTTGTGTCTTGTCTGTGTTCATTAATCCCTCTTACTTTTCTCT